GGGGGAAAAAAAAAAAACCAGAAGAGAGGTCACTTTTCTCCTGAGCTGGAGAAGGTTGCTACATTTCTGCAGGACTTCCCCTTTAGTAGAGTGAAGCAGTAGAAGTAACATCTTGGGGCCGAGCTGAACAGAGCAGAAGAAACAGAGTTCCCCTGGGACTTTCCCTTAGGGGAACACAGAAGAGCCAGCTGAGGAGCAGGATTGCTAAATCCCATCCCCCAATACACCTCAGCTTCCGGTATCGCCTGACTTCCTGACAAGTCAGGATTACAAGTCGGGATACTTTTCCCTTCAGAGCTGTCCCCTCACAGCTCCAGGTATTGGCTGACTTCTCTACTGGTCAGGATGCCTTTCTCTCCAAAGCTGTAACACTCGAATTTTCTTTATTAAATGCTTCTGTTTTTATATCTTAAGTATCTCTTCACATGTATTTTTTAGTTCTTTAATAGATTCTAATGTGTAATATAATTAAAGAACAAAATGTTAAGAGTTTCCTAAAAGAACTTGGAGAATATCAAAATATACATTAGAGAACACCTCTGCTACCATAGAAACGATAACTTCTCTTGAGTATTTTGGTATGTTGATCCAGGCTAACAGGTTGTTCTTCAGTGACAGGGTCATGAGAAAGGATGGAGGCCAGAGGATAAGGTGATCAAAGTTTGGGATTGGGAGTTTTATATAGGCTGTGGCTTATGCCAATCGAACTTATTAGGAAGTACATTGTTTTATATACTGTTTCCTGGGGAGACATGGGGCAGCATCAGCAGAAACTGTCATATGATGGGATGAAGGCAGCATGAGGCTAATCAAACAATGTTGTACTGTTTTGCCCAGAGAGAGAGATTCCAAAGCCTCCGAGAGCCAGTGACCACTGACTGCAAGAGCAAAAAGTTTTTATTAGGAACCGAACCAGCTGGGACCTCACTCTGTTGGGAGAGCAAGGCCCTGTCTTATGATCGCAAGACATTTTTAAAGGGAAAAAAGGGGAGGGGATTCATGAGACTGCAAGTCTCAGCTCCCAAGGTTTCCATGGTTACAGAGTTTTTACAACATACAGATTTTCCATACAAGGTTATCATAAAACAGAGGGTATTGGGCAAAGAAGACTGTCATCTGTTTAGGTAAGATTGATTAGCACATCCTGTGGGCCAGGGGTTTACTAACAATGTCAAGTCAAGAGGGTATCCACTTTCCAGTTAGGGAAAAATGTTCAGGCTTCCTTTTTCTTCTGGGAGTTCCCGTAGTCCCTGGTCATTTACTCTATGGTCAGGGGGTTAGTAGCTAGCTAGAGTTCCACCTTTTTCCTTGTCACAGCCTTAATTTTTATATCTCTTAGTTATTAATTTCTCATCACAGTACATAGACTATCTCAAGAACAGTGCAGAGTTAGCACACAGTGGCCTAAAAGTGATAACTGTAGACTTTTCAGGGAGAAAAGCTCCAAGTCTTAATTCCTTTGACTGGACCTTGCCAAGTCTGCCCTGGGCCAGGACACAGAACTAATTTTCTTTTGTGCCTTTATCAGGGCTTTTGGAAAGTCTTGGGCTGGTCTGGCTCTCAACAGCACATGCCTTTATAAACGTGTCTCTGGAAAGATAGTGTGCCTTTCACTGAACCTTCTAGGATGATGAACTTATTAGAACCTGCTCAGATTGTAGCAGGTCCATACACTAATCACAGTTTATCTGAGGCTCTTTTTCTCTCTTTATCCCCTTAATGGCCAGTTTTTACCCACTTTTGTGTCTGACCTAACATCCTCATGGCTGACAGGTAAAACCCTTCAAATGTATCAATAGACCTCCAGTTTCCACTAAATAAAAGGTGAAGGATGCAGTCACATAGCGTCTATGTTTAGTAGTTGAGATTTCCCATTTTGCTTATCTAACATTTCTACAAGTGTTTTTGTAAAAAAAAAAGTCTTGATTTATGGCTTTCTTTGCTGTGTTTATAAAAAACTTAGTAAACCTTTTACTACATTGAAACTTGGAATTTGTAGTAATCTGAATCTGTGTTCCTAGGCCATGGTCACTCATATTTAACTCCAGAATTAACTATTTCTTATTCCCTTTGAGGTGGTAGTTGTGTTTTCTTGTTGACATTTTCCATATTATTTCATTTCTCTTTTAATGTATAAGAAAATACATGCAGCTTTAGAAATACCATTTTGTGGACTTTCTTAGCAGAATATTCTTAAGTTACTATGTTTCTCCACAATATGAAGATGAATGCCTTCTACCATTTCCTTTGAGTATATGACTACTTTGTGTATTTGTTAGGGTTTCTATTGCTGCAATGATACACCACGGCCAAAAGCAAGTCAAGGAGGAAAGGGTTTATTCGGCTCATACTTTGACATCACCAAAGAAAGTCGGGACAGGAACTCAAGCAGGACAGTAACCTGGAGGCAGGAGCCGATGCAGAGGCCATGGAAGGGTGCCACTTAATGGTTTCCTTCCCACAGCTTGCACGAACTGCTTTCTTACAGAACTAGGACCACCATCCCAGGGATGGCATCAACCACTATAGGCTGGGCCCTCCCCCATCAATCACTAATTTTTAAAATGTCTTACATATAGATCTTATGGAGGAATTTTTTATTGGGGTTTCCTACTTTCAGAAAACTCTAGTTTGTGTGTCATGTTGGCATAAGAATAGTCAGCCTACTTTGTTAGCTAAATTATACTGAAAAAATAATATGAAATTATTTGTCTTAAATTATAAATTTCTGATTTTTATTTTGGAACGTTAGTTTTTAAATTTTTTATTAGTTCTTTGATAATTTTGAACAGTGGAGTTTTATTCTATTCACGCCTTCCTCAAATCCTCCCCAATTCATTTCATCCTTCCCTAAGTTTGAGATCTCATATTTTTAAAGCCTGTGAAATACAGTTTCTATTGCTCATATACTCTTGGATCTGTGGCCTTCACACTGGAGCAGGTTTACCTCCCAAGGGCTACATTTTCAGAAGAGTGGTTCTCCCTCTCCCAGGAGCTAAGAGTTGCCAGTAGATCCTTAGGTATGGGATCTCCCCTCTTCATGCTGGGATTTTATCTGGCTTGAGCTTGCAAGGGCTTTGTGTATGTTATGGCCACTGCTGTGTGTTAATTTGTACAACTGCCCTCCTGTTTCCTTGTAGGTATTCATTGCCTTTGGCCTTTACAATCTTTCTACTTCCCTGGGCTTCAGTGATCCCTGAGCCTTGAGAGGAGAAGTTAAGATAACGATGTCCTGTTTTGGACTGAGGGTTCTTGTAGTATCTTATTTTCTGCACATTGACAAGTTGTGGGTCTCCATGTTATTTAACAGAAAAAGGCTTCTCAAATGAGGGTTGACAGAGACCCTAATGTATGGGCATAGCAGTAAATCCTTACGAGTGGTTTACTACTATGCTCATTTAGCACAGTAATGATAGTTGGGTCTCTCTCAGGCCCTGTGACCTGTCTAGCCACAGGTTCGTGGCCCTGATAATGATGACAGAGAGGGTTCAACATGTGGAGTGGGTCTTAATTCTGGATATTGATTTTTATCTAATCTAGTTCAGGTCCTTGCAGTATCTGCCCTCATACATCTCTTTAGTTGAAACACAAAAGCAGACAGAAAATGTATTCACAGAAGTTTTTCAGGGATGCGCAGTTGGGACTAACTTGCATCTTACAGTGTGCATGTTCCCATAGTCTTTAAGAGAGTGCTTGACTTGAAGAACTATTGTTTGTAAGAAGTCATCAAGGTCTCTGAAGTGCTGTTAGTGATGGAAACAGCGTGCTTAAGCTCTTCTGTTAGACTCTATCCATCCCCTAAGTGGTAGCTGCTCACTCTCGGTTTTAAGGACACTCTCCTTTTCAGAAGCACTTCTCAGTGTTCTCAGAAGGTAGAGGATGAGGCTTCTCACAAGCAATATTCCTTAAGATGAAGAAGAAAGAATACAGTGCTTAGAATCCTTCACAGTTTAGTAGAAAAAACAGTCAATGACTCACATAATGCTGGCGAATAATGATCAGAGATTTAGCACTGTCCACCACTCTCTTCAAGACATTAGAAGGAAGGGCACTGATTCCGGAGGTCTTGTGGAGGGCAGCAGAGGGAGAACTGGGTGTACCCTGGGTCTGGTCCTGGATAGTGGTGAGTTCCAAGGGAATAGAGCTGTCCTGGGAGGATGGACTGAGGAGGGTATCAAGGAAGAACTAGGGGGAGCCTGGGTCAGTGTCACTTGGTGGCCCAGCCCCAAGGGGATACAGTTGGATACGAGGAGGGGCTAAGGCAGGCAGTAGTGGCAACCCTCTCCTTTCTTGCATCTAAGGGAACACCTGGGCTGGAGCTCTCAAAGTGTGCTGCCCAGGAAACCTGACTTGCAGTGTCCAACGGATAAGGGTGCACCACTGTAGAGTGAATAGTTTGAATGTGACTTTCATGATATTGTGACGAATAAAGATCTAGACATGGTGACAGTATGGGAGAAGTTTTGGGGAAATAGTGTTCCTGGGGAAATACAAAAGTTTTGTATAGTGTTCTTGGGGAAATACAAAAGTTTTGGGGAAATAGTGTTCTTGGTGCTTTGTTTTATTCATTATTTACTATTCTGAAGTATCATACATTTTTTTAATGGAGTTGGAGTGAAGCTCAGTTGTTTTAGTGCTTGCCTAGAGCACGCAGGTCCCTAGGTTTGATTCCTAGGACCAAAACTCTCCCCACCCCAAAGGATTGCCTCTCATTTACCCTTTCAAGGAAATGTTTGTACAGAGTGTATTTAGAGGTGTGAAAAGCTATAAAAACAGTTGCTTCTGCTCCCCCACCCCTTTGAAAATGGTCTGAAGAAGCACACATCTCTGAGGAAGGAAGGAGATGGGATTCTCCCTGTCTTTTATTGCTTGCCTCTTCAGCTACTTTTTCACACTTTCCTCCATTGCCTTTCTTTCATTGTTAATTTCCTGAGACCTTCTCAATAGCATACAAGTTACTCACCACTGACAGCAGTTTTTCCTTTTTCTTTTATTTCTAGTGCATAGAAGCCAAAAAACATTGCTGGTATTTTGAAGGACTCTATCCCACATACTATATGTAAGTATTATGCTTTGCTGCCCATTTGACTGTGCTCAACTTTGTTTCTTTAATAGTGGTGGGACTGAATCATTGGATAGGGAAAGCCCAGGTATAGCCCAGCCTGCCTCCGACCTACCCCTCCCCCCCTCTCACGCAAGGTTTTATGTCTGCTTTTGCTCATGAACAGCAGCACCTCACCAGGACCATTCAACCTGGTCAGATGAGTTACTCTAAGAATATGAATTGCTGTATTCTCTGCTTTGCTAGGTAGTTAGTTCCTGTAGGATTGGTATAAATCAGGAAGATGTCTGTAGAAGACAGACATGGTGTTGGTTTGTATACATTTTCTTAGACAAAGAGAACAAAGATATGGGGAGTAGACTTAGGACCTTTCAGCTTTCGAAGAAGGGCCTCAACTTGGTTCTTCTGTGTGTGGGGGGGAGGGAGGGAGGGAGGGAGAGAGAGGGAGGTTTTACAATGGTCATAAATCTTGACTCTAATGGGATGTACTCCATCCTGTACACCAGTCAGGCTCACTGTAATTAAATCATTGTTAGCTCTCTCTCTGTTGTATAGGATTTTATACTATTGTCTGGTTTTAGTTACTAACTACATTAGAGCCGGCTGCTCATTGAAAGTAGGTGGCTGGTTGCTCCAGGTTATTGGCTACTGTTTTTAGTTGTGCTTTGAGGTTCCATACACTTGAGGTCAAATAAGCCAAACAAATTTTCTTAAAAGCTTTGCTATTTTAGCATTAAATTTTGTCAGATGAGAATTTTCAGAAGTGTACGTAAACTATGGTAGCAGAAACATTGTATTTATGAGGTATTTGGACATGTGAAGTAACTGAATAGGAAATATATAATATAGTCATCTCTATCATGGGTTTTGTAATCCTCAGAACATATTTTAATAATGCACAATTGTGCCACTATCAAATGTTGAGACTTTGAAATTTCATCATTGTTTTCTAAACAGTACAAGTGCTATCCAAGTACCGTTTCTATTGTGTAAGGTATAAGCAGTCTAGAGATGATTCAGCATTTTCCGTGGACGTAAACAGGCTGTATGCAAATACTAGATCATTTTATAAGAAATTTGAGTATCCTTACATTTTGGCATCCAAGGGGGTCATAGAATGAATCTGTAACTATAATTGAGGTCAATTGTAATAACAAAGGTTATTTCTTAATTGTCCTGGCCACACTTTTCTGACTTGTCTGTCCTTCTTGGAGTGCAGTGTGGAACAGGGAATGTTGCTGTGGAGCGTAAGAAGTTGCCAGTGTCTTTTGTTGGTTTCCTGCTAACAAAAAGGAGTCCTTAACTGCCTGCTTTAAAAAGGATCCAGTCCTTAAAGGAAGCCTGTATATCTAGAAAAAGACAAAACCTACTGAGAAAATTAAGCAGCAGCATTAGGACTTTGTCTCGTATTGAAGAGCTGATATGTTGAAAACAATGCTTATAGGATAAATTAGGAGATAAAGTATTTGGTACTTCTCAGAATAAAACATTTCTATTTCTGGACATTGTTTCTTTATTCAGCTTCTTGAATTAATGCATATTAATAGCTACTTCTCTCAACACGGTGTTCCTACTTTGTTGATCAGCTTTGTCAAACATTGGTGGTGGCAGCTAGAGTTGTATTTACTTGTTAGTTGATTTCTTTATCATTGACGTATTCAATAACAGATTTAGAGCATTTTTGCAGACTAGTGTCCCCTCTTATCCTTTCCTTTCCATTTTCATCCAGTGGTAGGGGAAATCCCGGGACCCTCGGTTGCTGCATTCTGAAAGTCAAGACCGCTAATGATTAGAATGCTGGATTGAGGGCTTAATATAAGTTTGGTATTTTCCTTTACCACCATAAAAATTAATTTGTTTAGTTTCACAGTCACCCCTAAAAACCCATAGCTGCCAACCCTCTGCTTCTGCTCTTCCTGTCTCTCTCCTGCCTCTACCTGGAAACATTCACCTTGGTGCTTGATGAAACCATGACTCCACCTGGAAACCTGGTGCAAAGACTTTTTTTTCAGGCTTTTCTTTAGTCCATTTCTCGCTTGTTTTTCAATTTTCATGTCTCTTTTCTGCTTAACAGCATCTGGAGCAAAGTTCAACATTTTAGCCAATTTTAAAATAGTGGTTTTCACCAGACAGTGGTGACATGCACACCTTTAATCCCAGCAGTTGGGAGGGAGAGGCAGGTGAATCTAGGTGATTTCAGTGCCTCGCTGTCCTAATAAGAGACAGGTCACCTGGACAGCAAATAACAGAGACACATCAGAATTAATTAACATCAAACGTATGGACCTAGCAATATCTATAGGGTTCTCCGTCTAAACACCACAGAATGCACATTATACTCAGTAGCTGGTAGAAGCTTTGCTAAAATAGATTGCATACTGGGACACAAAACAAATCTTAAATTTAGGAAAGTTGAAATAACCTTCTGTATCTTATCTGACCAAATGCTGAAACATCTCAATTACACAAACTCATTAAGACTAAACAACATATTACTGAATAATGAATATGTTAAAGAAGAAACCAAGAAAGAAAAGTTTTCCTGGAATTAAGTGAAAATGAAAACAACAAACCAAAACTCCTGGGACACATTGAAAAGCAGTCCTATGAGGGAAAGTTATAGCTCTAAGCTTCTACACTAAACAATTAGAGAGCACAAATAAATGACTTAATACAAATCAAAAATGTGGACAAAAAAAGAACAAACCAATCCCAAATCCAGTATTTGAGAAGAAATACTAAAAATTAATGAAATAGGAACAAAGAAAATAATACAAAGAATCAGTGCATTTAAGGCCTGTTTCTTTGAGGAGATAAACAAGATTGACAGACTGCTGACCCAGCTAACCAAAAGAAAGAAAGGCTTAAATGAACAGAATCAGAAATTAACAGAGAAACATTACAGCAAATACCAAATGAATTCAGAATATTACAAAGGGATACTTTAAAACTATAGATTCCATTGTTATAAAATCTACAAGAGTTGGAAGAAATTCTAGATTCTTTAAAATCGCCAAAGTTAAACCAAGAAGAGAGCAACAACCTAAATAACTCTATAACCAATATGAAGATTGATTGAACCAATGATAGAAGACTTTGAACAAAAAAACCCAGACCCAAAGAAGAATGAAAATTCTATCAGACTTTCCTAAATCTCCAGCCAATATTTCTTAAATCATTCAAACAAATAGAGATGCAAGGGAACTCCCAATTACCTTCTACAAATCCAGTATTACGTTAATACTAAAGGCAATTAAAATCACAACGAAACCCCAAAACTACAAACCAGAATTTTCCTGATGAAAATTCTTAACAGAATAATTGCAAGCCAAAATTCAGGCATGTACCTCAATTATTATCCATTGTTGTCAAGTTGGCTTTACTCTGGAGATGCAGGAATGGTTTGACACAAAGAAGTTAATAATTGCGATAAATCATATAAATGTATTTAAAGACAAGATCCACATGATTGTTTCTGTGGATGCAATAAAAAGTTTTGGCAAAATTCAACATGCTTTTATGATTAAAGTTCTTGGGAGTGTAATGCTGGAGGGAACATACCTCAATATAATCAAGGTAGTCCATGACAAATACATAGCCAGTATTTATAGAAAATGGAGAAAACCTCCAAGCAAGCCCCCTAAAATCAGGAACAAGACAGGACTGTTCACTATCCCTGTTCCTTTTCAGTAAAATTGCTCTAGAACTAGAGCAGTCAGATAGAAGAAAACCAAAGGGATAAAAATAAGTAAAATTATTCCTATTTGCAGAGGATGTTATACATGAGAGATCCCTCAAATTACAACAGAAAACGTCTGGGAAGGAATAATTTCAGCAAAGTGACAGAATTTGTAGTCAGCTTGCAAAACTAGTACCCTTTCTGTATATCAACAACAAACATGCTGAGAATGAGATCATGGTAATAATCCCATTCAAAAAAAATCTAGTGATAAATCTAACAGAGGAGGTCAAAGACCTACAGTTAAAATCTTATATCTCTGAATAAATTGAGGAAGACGTGAGAAAATAGAAAGACCTCTCATGCTCTTTAGAACTAACATAAAACAATAACCATTCTAAAAGAAGCAACTTGCAGATTCAGTGCAATCCCAGCCAAAACTCCCTCAACATATTTCACAGAGAGAGACAAAAATATCCTGAAACTCATATGGAACTGCAAGAGTTCCTAGGTAGCCAAAGCAACCCCAAGCCAAAAAAGAACAGTGCTGGAAGGATTATCACTTGAAATCTGTAGCATATATCGCTTAGCTACAGAAATAAAAAGCGTGGTTCCGGCACAAAAGGAGTCACCTAGGTCAATAGAACAAATAGCTGAACCAAATATGAGTGCGCACAACTGCCACCTTCCAGTGTTTGAGAAGGTGCCAAACATACACGCTGGAGAAAAGACAACATCTTCAACAAATGGTGCTGGGAAAACCAGATGCTCATGTGTAGAAAAAATGAAATTAGACCCATGCCTTCCCACCTGCACAGAAATTAACTCCAAATGAAGCAAAGAGCTTGGTGTTAATCCCGAAAATTCTAGAAGAAAATGCTTTCAGTACCTTACAGGATTTAGGTGTGGGAAAGCCTTTTTCGAATTGGACTCTACTTGTCAAGGATTTAAGGCTAACAAATAACAAGTAGACCCTCATAAAGATAAAAAAAGAACTTCTATACCATAAAGGAAACATCAGTTGAGTGGAGAAGAAGTCAATAGAGCGGGAGAGAATCTTTGCTAGCTATACATCTGATAGTGGGCTAATATTCAAAATATATATAATAAAGAACTCAAAAAACAAAAGAATCAAAACAAATGATGTGTTTGAAAACTAGGCTGTTTCTGCCACCCCTGAGGCTTGAACCTGGAAGCCTGACTAGGCTGGTGAGGAAATGAAGAAAGGACAGATGCATGTACAGAGAGGCCAGAGTCGGGTGAGCTATGCAAATGCTGATGAAATTCTGCAGCTCATAGCTTCAGCGCATTTATCATG